GTAAATAACATATAAATTTACATTAAAAAGTTATATAAAAATTTATCTCTTAATTATTTTTTATATAAAAAATTATTTTACAATCTAAACTATATCAAATTCTAAAACACTAATTTTTAAATAAAAAAATAAATCCCTAATACTAAACTCTCCTCTTTTCTATTTTAAAGATCCTAATTTGATAGAATGACCCACTTTGACCTAATAGTATTGGATCTTAGATTATAATTGTTTACTTCTTATGAGTTACACGTTCGAACCTTACATAAATTCTTTTTTTTTTATCCCCATAATATAATATAATTCAAATATTAAAATTGAGAATAATTTTTATATTTTTTTAATAAATTATAAATTATACAAGAGAAATAATCCTCCCATCTTCTTAATTTTTTTTCTGACTTAAAATTTAAAATTTTAAAATTTAAAGCGTTGAATCATTTAATTGAAATTTAAATATTTTATGTACACTAAAATAAAGCGGAACTTCGGGGGAGAGTGGGTGGGCCTGCACTCGCAACGTTCTGCAGGGAAATGGGACCCAGTAATTTGCCGTTTTAAGAGGCTGAGGGCAGGGAGAGCCGTTACCTTTGGTCCCATGTGCATTTCCTCAGGATGGGCTGTCACTTTCCCCAACGGTCACACAACAAACGGTAACTTTTCCTCCACACTTCCCTCCAATTCCCTTGTGGCTGTGAACTCATCACTCATGTCGGGTTTTATCAAAACTACCATTTTACCCCCCATCCCTCTCACATGTAGTATAGTATTATTTCTTATAACAATTTAAAATTAATTTAATTAACAATTTTATTTAATTTATTATTTTTTTGGGTGAAATTTAACTTAGTAATTAATAATAATAATCATCATTATTACTAATTTAAATACTTTTATTTATTAAATTAAATAAAATTTTTAACCATTAATTTTAAATAATTATATCAAATATAGTATTCTCTCCAACGGTTTGCTTTGGTCCAGTGACATCGGACCTTAGGTTACGGATGTTCACTTCCGTGAATTACATGTTCGAATCTCACGGAATCTCTTTTTCTCTCCTCTAATTAACCCTATAAATAATTATAAATTGTTCAAAAAAAAATATAGTACTCTCTCCAACTGTTTGCTTTGGTTCAGTGGCATCGGACCTTAGGTTACGGATGTTCACTCCCGTAGGTTACACATTCGAATCTTACGGAATCTCTTTTTCTCTCTCCTAATTAACCCTATAAATAATTATAAATTATTCAAAAAATATATATATAGTACTCTCTCGTATAAATACAAATAAATTAATCCCTACCTCTTGATCCAATAATGAAGTGTTTTAGTGCATGTTTGGTACAATTAGTATGAAAGTTTTTTGGATTTTAAAAGTACCAATTG